TTCTGATATCAAGCAGTTATGACCAGGGCCCGGATTTAAAGGTTGCAGACATTACATCAAGTGTTAAAGTGATAGTTCACCCAAAAGTGAGAATTCTGTCATTAATTACTTACCCTCACATTATTCAAAACCCGTAAGATTTTTGTTCATCTTTGGAACACAAATTAATATATTTGTAAAGAAATCCGAGGGCTTTCTGATCCTGCATAGACAGCAACACAACTACCACGTTCAAGGCCCAGAAAGGTAGTAAGCACACTGTTAAAATTGTCCATGTGACATCAGTGGTTCAACCTTAATTTTATGATGCTACGAGAATATTTTTTGTGCGCAAAAAAAAAAAAAGGTGCATCAGGCTCCTGCGTCAGCAGTACCACATGCATGCGTGGTACTCTAGTGAACTAATACAGTATTTGCCAGAGAATTATTCAATATATGAATAGAGTTGGACATGATTATCTTTAAATAGTTTTAATGCTTATTTGTGCAAATGAAATCATAGAAAATGTGTTTTAGTCCTCTTTGAATGCTTTGTAGAAGGGTATGATGGAATACGTAGGTTGATCAGTAAGACCCTCTCATGAGCTTTGAAACATTACGCTGTTTACCAAAGGAGTAGGCTGTCTGTTCGGAGGTGTAATGAATTTCTTTTCTTTGGACTGCGGCTTTGCTATAAAGCTCAAGGACATGATGTCCACTCCTATCCGCTAAAAGTTGACATAACTGACAATGAAAGAAGGCAGCTCTCTGCTTCCCGAATAATAACAAAACTTCAAATAAAAACAATTCAAATTTTTAGATGCTGCATACCCAATTTGGGCTGACAGATCAAATAGCGGAGGTCATGGCACAATTCCGTGCCTTCAGTATACATTTTTTGCTGATTTAATTGAAGATACTTGCTTTTAATGAAAGTGCCATCATGAGAACGTGAGGACATGCTGCCTGTTTGGCATGCAGAGGAGGGGCTCTAAGAGGAGAGTCTGACAGCGTGTCAGAGAGCTGCCTCCAGCTCTCAGACAACAGCTGCTCTGAATGAGAGGGCGTCCTGGGGGTACTGAGACACAGACAGTGACTCTCTCCGCTGGTGGGGGCGGCTGAAGCGTGAGGAGCATCAGAAGTTGGCCGAGAGCCAGAGCCAGGATTTGCACTGGAATTATTCCGTTTGTTTTCCCTGTAATTCCCTAAACTAATAATAATGTTTGGCTATACTTGTCTTGAACGTTGTTTGTGCAGAACTGCATGTGAACTCTGTTACTGGTAGCAGGTTATTTATATCGTTTTTTACCTCTGATTCACGCAATGTCTGAACTGTTCGAACTGCCCTGAGCTGCACGCATCCTCCTGAGGACGTTCTCAACAGCTGGCGTAGATAGGTGGTGGTAATGCACTTATAAGTCTGCGATCCGCCATAAAGCAAGAATGTTCATGCAAGACCAAATAGTTTCTTGTGATTTAAATAAATGAGATTCAAATCTAGCAAACGTTTGCTGTAAATAAAGAATTAATGATCAACATTTTGCATCAGAACATGATTCTCTTCATTCTCATGCATCACTATTTAAATAAGTCACCTTAACTATTATGTTTCAACTAGCACTACATTTTAATTCATAATGTTTCCTTATTTCCTTTAACACAAATTGTACTCTGTAGTTAATCTATTAAGATTTTAAATCTAGTGACTTTAGTGTCACTAAAGTATAAAGAGAAGTATTTCTCTTTTTCACTGTGGGAATATCACAATGAAATTCAAAGACAATTCTACCAGCACTAGTAAACAAATAAAAATGAAAATTCTAGTCTTGCCAGATCATGTAGGTGTTATGTGAACCAATATTGTTCTTCTGCAAAAATATTCAGCACATCACTGACAATGTCTCTGCAGGAAATGTGAATCTGGTGGCAGCAGCCTTTGGTCAGCTGCATTCAAAATGTCCTAGAGCTATGGGGTGATCCATTCCAAAAGACTTCATGTGGCTTATCTGGAAATTGAAAACAGGAAAGACCTACTTGAGGCCTATAATTAGTTTATTGTAAATTATTAACATGAAATTATCTTACGGATTTTCCTCGGGCTCTGTTGCTGTTCCAGACCATGTTGAGCTTCTCGAGAATGACAGAGCTTCAGTGCATTGGAAGTAGTAACTCAGAAAAGAAACAACCACTTGCTCTGTTTTTGGCTGTTGTGTGTGCTGTCTCAAGTGGACGTAAATGTGCAGCTCAGCTAGACCAGGTCAAGGCTGGTTTTAAGTGTTTTTACCGACTATTCTCCACACTTTGGATTTAAACTGGGTCAGACTGTCAGCTTTATTTTAAGCTCTCATAATGTGTAAGCTCAGTTGGATTCAAATGTGACCCTGGACCACAAAACCAGTCATAAGTATCACGGGTATATTTGTTGCAATAGCCAACAATACATTGTATGGGTCAAAATGATACATTTTTCTTTTATGCCAAAATATCATTAGGATATTAAGTAAAGATCATGTTCCATGAAGATATTTTGTAAATGTCCTACTGTAAATACATCTAAACTTAATTTTTGATTAGTAATGTGCATGGTTAAGGACTTCATTTAGACAACTTTAAAGGTGATTCTCAATTTAGTTTTTTGTACCCTCAGATTCCAGATTTTCAAATAGTTGTATCTTGACCAAATATTATCCCATCATAACAAACCATACTCCAATGGAAAGCTTATTTATACAGATTTAAAAAAAAAAAAAAAAAAAGACAACAGTCTCGTTGTCACGGAATGCCAGGAGAAAACAATGTTAGATCTAAGTGCAGTTTATTAAAGTACAAAAACATGGCAAAAGGTAATCCAAAAACACAGGGAACAGAAAACACGATGTAACCTCAAACAATACTGCCGCAAAGACCGACAGAGTGAGCATGAAATAAATAGTGATGGGATGAGTAAATTACCTACAGGTGATCATGATCAGAACAGAAAGTCTAGCAAAGGACTATGGGAAACAGTGTTCAAAACATGTAACAGTGAAATGGGAAGAGCGCCCTCAAGTGGCCAGTCCAGGGCACCACAACCAGACACTGTGACATAACCCCCTCCTCTACGGAGCGGATACCAGACGCTCCACCAGAAAACATAAGTTCAGGAGGGAGGTGGAACTGAGGCGGACCAGGGGGAGGGATGGCGGGCCAGGACCATGCAATGGAAGGGGTCAGGGGACAGAGGTAGACCAGGTATGACACTGGTATGACTGGATCCAGGTTCACAAATAAAATAGCTAACTTGCACAATGACAATTGTTTTTGTTTTGTTTTTTACTTTTTTGCAGTTTATTTGACAGTTTATCAGACACTTATGGTAGATACTACATTTTTAACTTCTGTTTTACTCATTTTGACAGCAATTAAAAGAATAATGCCATTTCTTGCTAAACTAACATAATCATTCCCTTTTAGATGTAATGCTTGGAGGCTTGTGTGACATTGAAAATAAATAAATAAAAAATATAAAAAAGAGATTTATATGTAGTTCAGTATTCTGTAACGGAATGCCTTAACAGTTAGTTGATCTTAGAATACTAAAATGTAATATTATTATTGTACTATTGTTTGTCTCTACTAAAAGGTAACAGAAAATGCACTCAAATAATCATGATTAATCTGTTTCTGTTTTATAGGTTTAACAAAAAATCTTTACGTACTCCCTGGATCAGTAAGTAGCCAATGAATGTTTGGCAGTTACTGCTCCACAACCGCACAAGGCCAGAAATGCATGTGAACACAAGTCATGTAACCCTTTTATTGGTTTACTCCGTCATTGTCAGTTTTATTGGTATTTAATATGCATTATGTGCTTTCAAAGTGAAAAAAAAAAAAAGTCTAGCTATCTAATGGGCAACATATTGATGTGTTGATGTCATGATCTTTACTGCCATCTTGTGGTGGATTGATAGAGAAGCGAAATGATATTGAATGAAATTTAGTACCTTTGTACTCCTTTTCAGCCATAGTAGGCTTCAGTATCAATTATATGAATTCTAAATCGAGTCTTGTTGACAAAGTACCCTTAAAGTACCCTTAAAAAAAGAGGTATTTAGCATAAAGTTACATAAAGTCTACTTTACATAAAAGTAGACTACCTTAGCTCATACCTTACCTTAAGAATTTGCACTGGAAAATATATTCTTACTCAGTATTTTTGTCTTGTATTCCAGTACTAATATCTAAACATTCTTAAATAATGATAGATTTACTAGAGAAAAAAATGCAATGGGTAAAAAAAAAAGTAATTTTTTTTTTTCCTTTCTTACGCCACCGGCAGATTTATTTATTTTGCTTGTTTTAAGCATAACTTACTAAAATATTGATATATTTTTTCAGAAAACAAGATTTAAAATATTAAGTCAATTTTATTAAGTCATGTTGATTTAAGAATGTTTAGATATTTGTACTGGAAAACTAGACAAACTAGTTAATGGCCTCTCTCTCTCTCTCTCTTTAATGCTCCTCCTTGTTTTAAAGCTTTCGTCAAGCTAATCTAGTTTCTGGGTTAATTTTGTGCTTATCGTTACTGCCTGAAGCTGAATACAAATGAATGTCATCAGAGTGAAGGACTGTACGATTTTGTATTTGTTTTCCCAAGGAAAGTTTTGAGAATGCTAATAAATATAAACTGTTCTGGGCAATAATAATTTAGCATATTTGACGTGACAATATATGTATATCTCCTTCCTTTGCTATTATACCGTCCGTTTATCTAAGGCTGCTTTTCTGTGGCCTTCTCAGAAATATTCATTTCTGTTTTCCAGAAAGCTGTAGCCTGCTGCTGCTGTCACGGTGACATACATGTATTATGAATGAATGCGGCTGAGATGGCTCCGTTCACTTCAGTCTTCATTGTTCATTGGTTAGACACAATATTTGATTATATTTTTATAACTGGTTTGAGCGTGATCAACGATCAGAAACTGGATTAGCAAAGTAGGCGTGAATTCTTAAAACAGCAGTTGATGCAGAGGATGTTTAAGCGGCGCTAGGACCCAGGGGACGTGTTCTCATTCTAACAAGGCACCATGCAATTTGCATGCGTTTATTCTGCAAGGCAAACAGTGGTGTATGAGTGAAACCTAAACCCCCGGAAGATCGAGGAACAGACTCGCAGACACGCTTATTGGTGTAGGATCACTATAGTGATGGGAAGCTTCCAGTCTTTGCCGGATGACCATCAATATCGAACCCTGTCACAGAAGACAGGCTGTGAGTATAACTATTACGAAGGGTTTATGTTTAATGTAATTAATAGCCCATTACTTAATATCTGACAAACGCAGCACCATTTACACAGGAAACGTGTAGTGATATAAATTATTTAGTGACATGTCGGAAATATCTTCTTTTCAACTTAAACATTGAGCTGGTGTAATTTACAGCTCAGATCTACTGTACTGCATATGTATTTAGTATAATATTTAGCCTACCTGTTGGAAAACTCTTACCTAATGTTGATATTTTGTTATTAGCATTCATAATTGTTTGTGTGGACAAAGGAAGACAAAACTGTATGCTTGCAAATGCTGGTTTTACTAGTGGTTATGGATGCTTAGTTTGATACCTCTGTACTGCAGACCCAAAATATGGACTTAAACAACAAACTGTGTACCAAAAATGTTAATGCAACCATTCATTGTTTACACACTCATGTTGTTCCAAAGCCATATGTGATCCTGCACCACAAAACCAGTTTGAAATTGAATATTTATACATAATCTGAAAGCTGAATAAATAAGCTGTCCATTGATGTATAGTTTGTTAGGATAGGACAACATTTGGCCGAGATACAACTATTTGAATATCTGGAATCTGAGGGTGCAAAAAAATCCAAATATTGAGAAAATCGCCTTTAAAGTTGTCCAAATGAGGTGCTTAGCAATGCATATTACTAATGATAAATACATTTTTGATATATTTACAGTAGGAGATTTACAAAATATCTTCATGGAACATGCTCTTTACTTAATATCCTAATGATTTTTGGCATAAAAGAAAAATCGATAATTTTGACCCATACAATGTATTGTTGGCTATTGCTACAAATATACTTGTGCTACTTATGACTGCTTTTGTGGTCCAGGGTCACATATGAAAGATGGAGATATTTTCTGGCAGCCTTAATGACTCCTCAATCACCACTCGCGTTCATCTTCTTCCATGTAAGTGAACAATGACTGATGTTATCAGTCTCTAAAATCACTCTTGTGCTCTACAGAAGAAATAAAGTCATATGGGTTTGGAGCAAAATGAGGGCGAGTAAATGATGACAGAACTTTGTATTTTTGGTTGACTGATCTCTTTAAGGTTGCTACATGTCTCATGTGATCATTCATAATTCAGTTAGAGGAGTCAGTCAGACAACAGCTATGTGTGTGAGGTGTCTTAAAGAAATTTTAGCAGTTGCGTTAACTTCACACATAGTGCATGGTGCCAGCTGGTGAGTCATCACCTCCATTATTTTCATTCTCTTTCAGTTTCACTGGAGCAGATCGCAATTCTCCACAATCGTTTTAAGCAGCTCAGCCAAAACGAGGAAACATTATGGTAATCTGCAAGTAGTAGTTGTGTGTGGGGGAGCATTCTGCAGAGTGTTGCAACAGAATAATTGTTCAAAATGCCTTTCAAGAATCAAATCAAACCAGTTTTGCTGGTACTGACTATTAGAATAATTATTGTTATGCTTGATTCATGTGTCTGCCTAGGTGGTTTGGTTGGTTACACAACATATATTCATACACAAGTATACACAGTACATACAGTACAAACCATAATGCCTGCTATTTACTTGTCAAACCTAATTGTTTTGTGTTCTCACTTAAAGGAGAGATGACCTTAAAACAATCCAAGACCTGGAAAGCAACCCAATTCGGTACCAGATTATAGAAGCTTTCTTCGATAGAAGGTTTGTGCTTATTTATATTCTGTATATGTTTGGTATTAATAGTGACAAGAGTTATGTGTTGCTCGAAATGATCTCCTACTGCCTCAGAATTTGAGATTGCCTTTGAATACTACGTCACATTTTTGAAGTTTCATTAGAAACATCACAAATATCAGTGGCACTGTCTTCATTCAAAACAGATGTGAAACAATACCTTAATAATAAAGGGAAGTCTTGTTGCACTGTTTTTTTTTCCTTGTTTATATGGCTATCATCTTTGGAAAGGTGACTTTTGTGGCTCTGTGACTTTGAGAAGTAACATTTTAAAGCGCTATATAAAATAAAATGTATTATTATATTATTATTATCAAGAATTTTTCATGCCCAAGAATTTTTATATTATTTTTATATGGTACTTACAGTATATCTCTAATTGTAACAGACTGACTGAATACATTCTTTAAAAAATAAACAATTAATCTTCGTCTTCTTTAGAAAATAAATATTTACATTTGCAATATGTAGATCTGCATGCTACAACATTGTGTAGTTTTTTAAGCACGTGTTTTTTCCAATTCCCATGGTTCAAAATCATCTGAAAACTACAAACCTGAAGATTAATATTGAAGTTTAATATTCAGGGCTCAGCAAAGCTGTTGATATAGAGCAATAACACATTACTATCCCCACTTGTTCTTCACAGGAACTTCCAGAAAGATGGTGTGGGATCTGTGGAAGAAATTGGTTTTGAGGAATTCCTTACCGTCATGTCGTACTTCAGAGCACCAGCCCATCGTATCACAGAGGAGCAGAGAGAAGAAATGAGAAGAGCCAAACTGCGCTGTAAGGGCATGCAGAAATGAAATTCAAAACATTCTCTGGAAACTAGGATACTTGGAGATAAAATACCAGTCAACTGAGCCATAAAGTCACAACAGAATTGATAAAGTACTGTCTCTTTCTTAATAGTCTTGTTCAACATGCATGACACCGACAATGATGGAACCATAACACTGGAGGAATACAGACATGTAAGAAATTACCAATTTTTTGTTTAATTAAATCCATCTGAGTAAATCATTTCTAAAATGTGTGTACATGTGGGTAGTTCATGATTATCTTCACAGATTATCAGCAGTGTTGTGGTCTCTCTTCTCTAGGTTGTAGAGGAGTTGTTGTCCCGTAGTGGAGCTCTTGGAAGAGAGACAACTAAGGGCATTGCAGATGCTGCAATGCTGGAGGTTGCCAGTATCTCAGTAGGTCCCATGGTATGTTATTTAGAGGTTAGATCACCAACATTGCATGGAGACAATATATCAATATTATATCAATATATCTCTAAAGTTGTAATCTGAATGTATAAGATGTTTTCATATTTTTGAGTTCAGTAAAATAATAATAAAAACAGCTCATGTAAATGGTGCCACATAAAGCGCTTTTTTTTGTTAAGTGAGTGCCCTGGGGTGCTCTACGTTTCACCTTTTTGTATTTTAAGAATTAGAGAAATTCATTCACATTTCACATTTGGTCCCCACAATGTAGCATAAACAAGTACACACACACACTCTTGCTAATTTGTCTTGTCTGTTTGCTTGTTTGTTTTTTTCAGGCACCTGATGAGTTCTATGAAGGAATAACATTTGAGCATTTTTTGAAGGTTTGTCAGTTTGTCCATTTATATGCTCAAGCCATATGGTCTAATTTAGCATTTGGCAATTTTTTTTAAGGCAAATATTCTGTTTTGCATTGCTTTAAACATTATTACATACAACATGTGTAAACATAAGACGTTGTAGAATTTGATCACGTAAGACTTGCCTTACTGATATAACCTGCCTTCACTCTCTTTCTTGGTTTCCTGCTCAACAGATTCTTAAAGGAACTGAAATTGAGACGAGAATGCACATTCGCTTCTTAAACATGGACACAACTGTTTTGTGCAAGCAGCGTTGTGTCTAGGTACTGCCGGTAATGTATATTTTCCGGTAAAATAACCACTTTATTAGATGAGGCTGGTTTAGAATAGTTTGGATAGATCTCTAGTTCTATGAACTATTTGTAGGATGCTCAGAGTGTGTATTTTACAAAGGTTGAAAATCAATAAGAAAAGTGTGTATTGATATCTGAAACTCCTTGCTTTGCATGCACATATTACATAATTATGGTACGATAAAATTAAAACTATGCAGGCATGGATTAATTTATTCATTTTACTTATTTTTTTTGTAATTATTTTTATTACCTCTTTATTCTAAAATAACCTATTATTCTAAAATATCTCTTTGTTCTAAAATAACCTATATACCCTACTATACCACAAAAAAGTTGTATGCTTATAACCAAATGCAATCATAATATATTTTAACTGAAATAATAATCCTGAATAGAGCAATCATATTATTAACACTGTGATATAACAATATTTTGTGTGCTTTTTTATGTGCAATTCTAATAAATTAAAACAATACTTGAATCCAGTCTCAAAAAAAGAACTGCAGTTACTCCTGTCAACCAGTAGATATCGCTAATGTCACAGCTTTGTTTAACAACCAAGTACAACCAATAAGCATGTTTCAGCATGTTCTTGCAAGGGCAATTAGAAGTGTATCAACAAACATTACATTACAAACAATACAAAATATTGTAAAACAATTAATGACATTATGACAATGGTAATCTGTAACTGCTAGTGGACACCAAAGACCTTTAATCAATATCAGCAGCCACGTATAGTTCAATGACAACAAACTCTGAGACATAGAGCTGAAGTTGTGCTTAGTAGTTATAAATAGCGCATGAATTGTACTGATGTAGGTTAAACAGTAGAAAAAAACTGTGTAGAGCATTTTATTTGCAAAAATGAAACTGGCATTTACTCTGTGAAAGTGCAAAAATGTCTCAAAATGAAGAAATGAATTCATGTTTCTTTTGTTAACCTTAAAAAGGGGAAAAAAGACTGTATATGCACCCACTGTGTATTGAATCAACTTGCAACTTGCATTTACCACAATAAAACTGTATCTTGCAACACTGAAGACTTTTTGTAATGCACTGCTGTTTTTTCCCCCTGACAATTCAAAGCATTTCTCAGATCTCTTCAGTATTTGACGGTAAAAAGACGATGATCACTTTCATATTTCATGTGAAAGTGTCAAGTGAGGTTGCCAGCACTAGACAGGAAAGAAGTTCTCACACAAGCACCTGTTTTGATTGTATGTTATTTGCTTAGGGGGTCTTCCCCACCACAAGCTGCCTCTGAAGAACTGTGACCCACTACCCTCTTTTGTCTGTTTCATGAAAAGACGTGCCACTCCCTTGGTTTGCTAGTAAGCAGGCACCGCTACAAAACCCCCATCTGTGCTTCTACAGAAATCAGCTTTTCAGACATCAGGAAGTTTGATGCAGTGTCTCATATCAAACATCACCAGGGTTGTTTGCTACAGATGTTTTGCAGCTTCAGGACAGATGTTTCCAGGGCCATTCAGCTGCTAGAGATCATTATGAGCAATGTGCTGATTAAAGAGGTTTAAAAACTCCTGCCATTAGGCTTACAACTAGTGGAAAAAACTCTCTGGATTATGTAATGTAAGAGTTTGGTGGATCTGCATGATTAGTAAGAAGGCAGGACAGCCCAGACTAAACTTATCAGTGTAGACACTGTCGATCTGTCTCATTTGCACTGTGCATTGTTTTTGGTATGCACAGAACACTTGTATTTTTATGGTCTCTGAATAAAGGTTGCTTCCCAAACAGAAGAATGCATCTTAGTGAGTCTACGTCCTTCCTAGTCCAGATCTTCTGAGGCTTGTAGGCTAGAGTGTTCCACAACATTAAGTTGTATTTACGACACTGTTCCAAAACAGTTCAAACCAAATATTCAGATGTGTGCAGCGCATTTTACGGAGGACTGTTTCCTGATCCTGTGAGAGTGGCCTACAATGCCAGTGTTCCGACAAATAATGCTGACTCACAGCCTGTAAGTACGTTAATCGACATGTTTCAGAAAGGCGGGTCATAGAGGAGAAATAATAATGTACAGTATGTGGAAAATAATGTGTTTATTGAACCTTAAACTGCATAAACACATTTCATAAATAATGTTATTTTTTAGCAATGTCATATGACCCCTTTAAAATGGTCATTTGAAAAATACTTTATAATAAAAATCTTTATATTAAATAGCTTTTTATTAAAACAATATAGTGAATGACAATCGTCTTTGGTCTCCCAGTGGTTTACATTATGTACAGTTTAGATTTTTTCTTCTTCTTTTTTCCCCATTTGTTTTTCCTTTTTTTCTCCATTATTTTCAACTTTTTTTGGCTTGCATTAATGAAATTTCTGCAGCATTCATTGACACTTTTTTTCTTTTTGTGCTGATAAAGCATTTTTTTTTCTTGTCCCTGTTTTTCCTGAAAAACGTTGCCATGCACAACTTGACCTATAATGAATCTTCCTACTTCTATTTCCACAGAAGCGTGTGACTAGGGCAAAGTGCCTGAGATGGCAATTTTTTTTTTTACTGAAATCACCCACTCACAACATCTAATTAATAAATCAGACAAAACATTTACCATTAATTATTGATACCATGTGTCCTTAGTGGTTATGTAGTTTTGCATGTTGTTTGGTGTGATTTGGCGCTATGATATTACTATTGTGATATAATATGACTGTTTGCACTATGATTTTGTTGTTATTTAAAGTGTCAGCAATATACTAAATGGAAAGAAAGGAAGAAGCACTTTTGAATGTCCATGTGTGCAACTTTGCGACATTTGTACACAGTGTAAGAACAAGAACAGAAGTTTCTTTTTGTTTCGTTTATTTTGAAGGTAGGAATGCAAAGTAATTTACATCATGACATACTGTACATACTGGGTTCATATAAATAAGTATCAAAATATATACATACATTCATGATCATGACATTCACAGAAAGCATTCATGAAATGTACAGACCACAGTCTGTTAATTATAAGGGGAATGGCTTGAGATTCACTCACATGGACACGTGGACACAAACACACACTCATACCTTGTGACAGGGGAGACGGCTAGCCAGTTTTTTTCCCCTTTCTGATGTGGTGAAATGAATGCGTCATTATGGGCTGATATCAGTCTCTTGCACTTCCTGTCTTCTAAAATGGTCTCAACTGAAGGCGATGTCTCAGACATATACATTTTACTAGATTATTCAGGTCATGCTATAGACGTTAGCATTGACCACAAAAGCCAATATGGCTAACGTGTGACATCACAGTTCATCACTGCAAATTTCTTTGTAATCAAAACAATTGCCTGTGACGACATATATAACATCATAGAGTGTTGTTAGGAAATCCTGAGTAACTAGAGTGGTTTTGAGCCTTCTTTCTTGCAGGGCAAAAAGCAACACATGTAGTCATACTGTATAGAGTTTTGTTGACAGCTGTTGCTCTATAACTAAATCAAATTAAAATATTTTTACTGTCAAATAATTCAAGGAACCACAACAGTCTATGACAGCCAAATAACATTATCCACTCTTGTCCATGTGAAAAAAAAAAAAACAATTTGTATAACTTTTTGTCCACATACAATATATGGATATGACAGTTAGGACAAAAATAAATTATATTAATAAATATATCAACAAAAACATACTCTGGGCATCTCTTCAACAGTTATAGATGTACAAAAATAAATATTAATAAATTACGTCAATATTGTTTTATGCCACAGAACAGAGTTCATCAAGAACCATTTTTGGTCCTCTTTCTGCACATTTTCCCCTTAAGAGACTTCTGTTCTTGAACTGCTTGACTAAGGAGCTCCTGAAGCCGAGACAGAACAATGCATCCATAGGCTTTCTGCTGGAAAATATTTTGCGCAGGGGGAATTCCTGTTGGCCTTTCAGCTGGCTCAGGAATGGGTATATTTGGCTGCAGGATTTGTAAGATACAGTTCACCCTCAGAGCAATGTGGCGAACATGTGTAATCATACTGTGAAGCCCCTCCACCACAGGGTTTGTTGGAGGATTTAAGTCTTTCTGCTGCTCCATCACTGTCTTCATGTGCGGAAGAAACTCTTTCAGGTGGGTATAAACACTCAAGATGCGCTCCGACATGGTCTGGCCAGAGATGGTTGATACTGGAACATTGTCCATTTGCATATCACAGATCAGGTCTGCAGAATCTCCTTGACTGGCTTTCTGAATGAGAGGAGACAAGAGTCTATAAGAACCCTGGTTCTTATCAATCGATCTTGATTTTAGTTGTTTTGTCTTATGATGAATCTTTTAAAGTCATCTTGAGGCCCCCTAGTGGGCCTGGTTAAGAACCAGTGGCCTAGACAGAAACTGATTCTTGAAAATAAACCCACTCTGTGACACCATAGCCCTATTCAGTGTCATGACTGTCTTTTGCATAACCCATATTTAACTATTCATCTGAAAGAGTCATTTCCACATTTGATGTCTATTCATGTACAGTATATACTGTCAAAGAGCTAAATTTACAGTTCCCACATATTCCCACCCACTCTCAAAACAGCCCAGTTTTGTCAATGGAAGGAATCACCTCACTGTATGTGGAATCCACACAAGCAACTGTTGACCATATTAGGCTCACATTGTCAGAGCATCTCTTCTTTGTTGTACCAATCACAACTGATTTAGGACCACTGACGTAAACGTCCTTTGCAAGGTTAACAATTATACTTTCAAAAAAGTAACTATAGAAAGAGAGTACTTACATATGTTTCTAAGAGCTCTGCTGTCCTTTTGCTCATCAACCTAGTGAGCTTCAGACTACGGTGAAGAAGCTGGCTGCAGTTCTCATTCTTGCATGACATTGTTGGATGCACTAACTCAACAGCAATCAAGATGAGGATAGGGAGGATTATTCCTGAATAATTAAAAAAAAAAATTGTAATTAACTGCGTCTTAAATGCAAAACATATTCCTTTTTTTATGTTGACCCTTTAACAGATGCAGTAGTAGATCTTTAGCTTCACATTCACTGCTGTCAGAATGACCAGATGTCCATCTTATGAGTGCACATATATATAATCAGTATACATGTAAAGAGATCACATGCAACATACTTTAACAAATATGCATGTTTTGTTTATGTATATTGTAACTGGGTTATTAATCAAATCACAGCATTAACAATGTTCCATGTCTGACCATTGTTAAGCATGCCTGTAAGCATATTGTTATGTGTGCAGTGTGGATGTAATACTTACTGAATTTTGCTTGTGATCTCTGAGATAGGCAGACCATGTTCCTAACATGACAATTCATTCTCCGTTCACAGACAAAGTTTCAAACTGGTCATGATCACAACTCTGAAAAAGTTTTTAAAGACTGAAACCACACATTTGTCATTGGAAGGAAATGACGCGGCCAGCTTTCTGAGGCAACAAGAGTTCCCAGAATTTTTTTTCTTTTTGCGTCTTCATTATCACATGTACTATGTGTAATGTTCCCTCCTTCTTTAGTTGCCACCCAGTTTTTGTGTGGCTGTATCTCCTTACGTGATGCAGAGTCTGGATAGGTTGAGCAATCATGTCTGTTTGTCATAGCTAATTTACATTTAATGTCATGAGATTTTACTCTTACCTCTCATATCTTAAAAAGATTTTTATGTTGCACAATGCTACGTGTATTTGGGATAACACTAAATAAGCAGAATACTTTTATTTATTAACATTTGTATGCAATTGTATGGATTTTGAGATCAGTCTTTTCTGACATTACATTGTGTTTATCATCGTGTTCAGTCAATAACATTGCTCTAAATCTGTCAAAACCATGCCAAAAAAAACAAAAATTAGAAAAGGAACCACCATCCAGCACAGCGCTCATCCACCCTTGATCTGAACTCTATGCCTGTTGGTTCAACAGGAAGTGGTCTTGTAATAGGAAGGTAGTTTCTCAACACTAGATTTTCACTGATACCTTTCGATCTTTTGACGTAAAAGCACAAAGTTGGGAATTTCAGCCACCTATGAAGTTCAGACCAGGAAGGAAGATGACAAAGACTTTGCTGTGCTTTGATTTGCTGTCACTTTTATTCAACTTTTGTGTGATGCAATTGCATTTTTGTAGCATGCAGAATGACTAAAGTGGACAAAAACATGCATCTGATGTTAACTGAGCTAAGCTTTATTTTGAATCTTTATGACTCAGGCCTACAAGGGAATCCCTAGAGCCATAAGTTTAGAACTTGCACAAATTTACAATAGTCCCCCAATTAAAGGCTGATCCTCACAGCCACATCTGTAAAAATATATTCTTATGCTGCTTAGGCAAATAAATGTAATTTCTTGGGTAAGAAGTCTGTTGTTTCTGCATAAGTGTGACACTGATGTGGTAAGTCACAGGGGAAATCAGTGTCTTCTCAGCAAAACACAGGTAATTGTAGTTCAGTACCTGGTACTTTCCACAATTCTTACAAAAAAACAAAAAAACAAAAAAAAACAAAAACAAACATGCACTAT